TCTAATTCTGGAGATATTTGGGCAGTAATTTTAAGGATTATGAATAACTAAATACAAAGTGTGCTATTCTATGGATCCATTGTGATGTCTTCTCCCTTGCCTTTCCAGATATTGGCTCCAACAACTGTGGCTATTACGAACTACAGGCCGTGTTAACACATCAAGGAAGATCTAGTTCTTCTGGACACTATGTATCTTGGGTTAAAAGAAAAGAAGGTACCAAGGCAATGTTAACAAGATAGTAGCATACAACAGGATTATATTTTTAACAGATTTATTCTTTTTAAAATCTTTCTGACTCCAATATGGGTGGAGTGTCACCTGCTGAAGCCTGGTTTTCAACAGGTCCCACAGAGATTATCCCAAACGTAGTGATTGTTACATGCTTTTTCATTCTGTTTGGATTAAAAATTGACTATAAACTAAAAACTAGCAAGGATGGTTTTGTCTAAACCACAAAACAGAGTTAATTCAACTACGTACAGAAATAGTTCAGAACAGATAAGAGTATTTATGCCTGTATTTTCACTATATCCTGAAGTGGAAACCACAATTTAAGTGTGCCCATGAGTGTGTATAAGCCGAGGGTGAAAAATGCAGCCGCTACTGGTCAGTTTGACAGATGACCACCCAGTTTTCTGTCATTCCCTTCTCCCCTCGCGGAGCACGAGCTTTCCTCGGCGGCGGCAGAGGAGAAGGAAGCCCCTGCGGCAGGCTTTTCCGCAGGCTTGCTCTCCTTCTTCCTGGTCCCATGCGCGGCCGTGGTGGCGGTAGCGGGGACAGCGGCAGGAGGAAGCAGAAAAGCCGCGCATGGGCGAGTGGGGAGGGGAAGTGCTCACCGCTCCTCTACCTCTTGCCGTGCACGCACCTTCTTCCTTGTCCCATGCGCGGCCACGGTGGCGGGGGGCAGTGGCGGGAGGACGCAGGAAAGCCGCGTATGGGGCGGGGGGGGGGCGGGACAAGTGTGCGCCACTCCCTGTCTTGACGCGCACACACCTTCGGTGGCGGAGGCAGGGAAGACGCGCGAGGGAGGAAGGGAAAGGTGCGCCTTTACTGCCGCTGCCGAGGAAGACTCAGCGGCGGTAAAGGCGCGCACAGGGCAAGTGGGGAGAGAATGCTAATTTGATAAATGGGAAAACCTAGTTCTGTTGTGACCTTGACAGTGATAATTTTGTACTGTATTTTTTAATTCACAGACGAATGGATTAAATTTGATGATGACAAAGTCAGCACTGTTACGCCAGAAGACATCTTGAGGCTATCTGGGGGTGGAGACTGGCATATAGCTTACGTCCTACTTTATGGGCCACGCAGAATTGAAGTAATGGAAGAGGAAGCTGAACAATAGACTCCGTTTCTATTTAGGTGTGAAATAAATTTCTTAACGCCAGAGCTTCACAGACGCTGGAAAATCGGTTCATGCAAACTCACTTGGAGCAACAAGGAAGCCAGACATGATTGAAAAACATCTGCACTAAAGCCACTATTACACTATGCAGCCACTCATTAGTGGTAGCAGGTTGATATATTTTGAATTAATCTTAATTGTTGTGTTGCAAAAGTCCATTTTAAATGCCATCTAACCATTGGTAAAATAAGGTGAGATTCCTCTTAATATTGACCGCAAGACATTTATTACACACCTACTTGTGCATCATCATCTGTTGTTAACTCTTGCATGGTTTCTACCAGTTCAGTAGCTGTCCATTCTTTCTATTGTGTCTGATAGCTTTGTCAGAAAGATGAAAAATCGTTGCCTCAACATGTAACTCAGTGCTGCTGCCCCATAGTCTATGGAAAAATGGCTGCAATCACGTATTTTGTCCAGCCTGACGTGCCAACTCAGTCGGTTCTGTTGCTGGCATTTCATGACTTTAAATAAATGGTGATCGATGATGACCGTGCTTCTTACATAACCATGGTCCGCGTTTTATCTTTCCGCTGAAGACTATAGTTAGCTGTCTTTCTGTCCAAAGTACAGTAAGGTGTGTTACAGGACTATACATACCAAAACACTAGAACTATAAAAACATGCAAATACCGCTAATTGAGGGGGTGATTTTTTTCAGCAGCCCTAGAATACCAGTTTTCACTGGAATCCTCCTCAAAATTATGGCAGCAAATGAAGCGACATCAATTCATTTCCATTTAAGCCAGAGGAGAATCAGGTATAGGGGGAACTGTGCTCTTGTATATCTGGAAGTCCATTAAATGAATTGAAAATTTTAGTGGACCTCAGTAATAGATGACTTATTAAAAGGAGCAGTCATTTTCTTATGCCAAATTCAGTGCATCTCTTTGTTCTTTTGATTGCATTGACTTACACAACAGCCTACTTAAAAGTCAATGCAATATGGTTTTCTGAGGCCTTTTGTGGGTTGTACAGCCCATTAAGAAATGAGTGGCTATAAGCTCAGTGTTAATTTTGAAAAGTAGGTATTAAAGGTAAATTGTTGCTCTTGGTCACAAAATGCAAGTGTGAGGAGGGAGCAAGGGATTCAGCAACTGCTTTGAGGGCACACACTCCACTCTCCTGGTTTATAGAGTACTAGCTTGGGGATCCAGCGATGCCTAGGTTATTAAAAGAAGGCATTGTTTGTTTTGGGATGTTAGGTAATACCACTTAAGATTGGTCCAGATCCGATGTTGGCTGGGTTCAGTGCTCTCGGGATAAGGGCGAACTACAACCCCCAGATCCAAGGTCAATCAACCCCAAACTCTGCCACTATTCACAGTTGGCCATGTTAGTTCTGTGTGCCAAGTTTGGTCCAGGTCCGACATAGGCTAGGCTGGGTTCAGTGCTCTCTGGATGCAGGTGAACTACAACTTCCAAAATCAAGTTCAGTTTCCCCAAAATGCACCTAGTATGTTCTGTTGGTCATGGGGAGTCTGTGTGCCAAGTTTGTTCCAGGTCCGTCATTCGTGAGGGTCACAGTGGTCTGAAGTTGTTGCTGAATCGGGTGAATGTACTGCAAATCCCATTACCTGTGATCCATCCTCTCCCAAACCGCACCAGGACGGAAAGTGGGTCATGGGGGAGTCTATGTGCCAAGTTTGTTCCAGGTCCATTGTTTGTGGGGGCTGCAGTGGCCTGTGGGAGTGGTCGCACCACCACATACATACATACGTAATACAAATACTGACTTTTCTCTACAAACCTCTCTAGTATGTTCAGTTGCTGATCAATTCCTCTGTTTGCTCTGTGCCATAAAAAAGGCATAGGAAAAGGTTAATGGAGCAGCAGTGGGTGGGGCCATGCAAATTTCACACCAGTGGAGAGAGTAAGAAACACTGGGATGTCTGTTTTGGAGGAAAAACAAACTAGGATGAAATGGTCCCAGAATGAAAACCTTCACTTGGGTGGTGGGCAGTATGGTGTTTGTGGAGGACATTGGCAGGGCTCTTGGACATGTTCATGGCACTCACTGTAACCTGCAATGTCCATGGAGGGAGGCATTGAAGTGGGGAGATCAAAACCTGGCTAAATGGCACTACCTAGAAGAATCCTCCACCTTGTGTGACTGGAGCAGAACAAACAACTCTGCATCTGTATGCTTGTCCACAATGCCCTGCCTCATGCAGAGGAAGAACTGTTTAAAGCTACAGACAATGCGGTGGCTGTTGCCTGTTTTTGGTCTAAAATTATTTAGCCACTTGTGCTCTTTCTATATTTTTATCTATTTTATACTTATTTATGCAATACTTTTGACACAAAATAAATAAATTGGAGGGAAGGCCTTTGGTGTCTCCTGAGCAGTTGTGGAGGTGGGAGCTTGTAAGTGGACACTCCAGCCACATACACGAATACAGATTTTCACTATTATGTGTATAGATATGCAATGGCTCAGTTCCACTATCAGTCCGACACTTAGAAACTTCATGTCAACATTATAGGTGGCGAAGTCTGCCCAATTCCCAAGTTACCCTTTTCCAGGGAGCACTACCACTGAAACCTGTCAAGAAAAACCAGATACTTCATACACGATTGCATAGAGTCAGTTACAAAATTAGACTTTCCATGAAAAGAACGGTGTGCTTTACAGATGTGGTCACAGCCTTGAATGAGAGTTGTTACATATCCAAGACAAGACCTGTTCTGTTCAAGAGAACTTGTCCTTTCAACAAGATTTCCAGAACGGGGCAGTGACAGCTAAGCTTTTAGGAGCCCATTTCTGCTCTGCACAGCCACAGACAGAACTATTCTTTGCTGCAACACCATTATAGTAGGAACCACTATTCTCAAATCACTAATATCACATTAGGCAAAAACAAGCTGCACTCTCATTTTGGTTACTGTGCCAATGAACAACCAACAACAATGGCTGTATATGGAGAGTGAACAAAGTATTTCTTAGAATCAACCCTGAAGGTAAAACCAATGCTAAACTAATTCCAATGAATTGGATCCTTTAGGCACCAGTCACATTTTGATGAAGAATTCACAAAGAACAGACTTACAATGTGGCCGTTTTACAATACTGTTAAAGAGTGGTAAAAAAGATCAATGTATTTCAGACACCTAGAATCAGAATTGGAAGAGACCTCGTGGGCCATCTAGTCCAACCCCCTACCAAGAAGCAGGAGAATCGCATTCAAAGCATCCCTGACAGATGGCCATCCAGCCTCTGTTTAAATGCCTCAGAAGGAGCATCTACCTGGCATGTATGGGTACATTACATGCACAAAAGAAATGCACCTTCTGTTGCATTTGTGGTGGTTACATTCCTTCACAAAAAAAGGAGAGCTGGCAGTAACTCCAAACAAATATTACAAAATGTTATGGACCACTCCAGTCATTTGTTTTGAGAAAGAAGATTGAAATTATTTTGAAATACCAAATTGACAATCATAAACTATATAAGATTAAAAACAGGGATAAACAACTTTTCTCCACATTCTCTTTAAGGAAACATCTCATCTCAAAAGTATTATAACATCTAATCTGCTGTAAGGAACTCTCCCACACGTGAACAGCAGCATATGATTTATGATGCAGGGAGTCAAACAAAGTTTAGAAATTTAATCTGATTTGACTGAACAGTCCATTTTTTAATACAGAAGGTGATATACTTCCTTATACATTTTCGCAAATATGTACTTTGTGTTAGAGTCGACATCAAAAGCAGTGTACCTCTCACTCCCCTTAAATTAATTCTGAAAACAGCCTAAATAAAAAGGTCACAACTTGTCATAGTAGAATAACTCCTGCTGGGTCGTGAATATTGGTCCTCTTCTGGGAACTTCCAAGAAAATGTTACTAAAAGATATAGTTTGTTTACCAAGTTCAACTGGCCTATGTTTGGCATTGTCACTTAGCAACAATAACCATCATTGTTCTATTTAAAAAAAATAGCCCCAAATTATCCATTGTTTTCACTGTCATTCGTTAGGCTTTCAGCAAGTTCATTTAACCCAGCTTTGTTCACTGCATTAATCAGATTTTCCATAGTTGCATGGATTCCCTCTTGATCTTGCCAAGTAACAAGGAGCTGCTTAGCTCTCATCTTCACATCTTCACTATCTGATTCGATCTGCCTTATATCGGACTCTTTCATTTCCAAGTATGGAGACAGAACTTTCCAGTATTCTCCAAGCTTATAAGCAAACAGCTCTATCTGTTCCCCTGTTACAAGTTTGTCCCGTTGAACATCCGGACCTAAAATTAGAACAAAAGGATAGTTAAGTAACAGCCTTTCGGAAATTAACAGCAATAAAATAGTTTCTGAAAACTGACAACACTTGGTTAGCATTTCCCAGATATCATTCAATAATCATCCTCGTAGATCGGAGGTGAGCTGTTCTTACAGTTCTCTGGTCTCTCAGGGCTCAAATTTTTGAACCCCATTTACACCACATCTGGAAGGAGCCCCCAGTGGCGCAATAGGTTAAACCCTTGTGCCGGCAGGAATGCTGACCAAGAGGTCAGTGGTTCAAATCCGGGGAGAGTGGGTTGAGCTCCCCCTGTCAGCTTCAGCCTCTCATGCAGGGACATGAGAGAAGCCTCCCACAGGATGGTAAAACATCAAGCATCAGGGCGTCCCCTGGGCAACGTCCCTGCAGACGGCCAATTCTTTCACACCAGAAGTGACTTGCAGTTTCTCAAGTCACTCCTGACACACACACAGACACACACACACAAAACCACATCTGGAACCCCCCCCCCCCCCCCGTCTCCTGACAGAGAGAAACCCTTTGTTTTAGGGATATTTTTGCAACAGATCATCTGTTTGTGAGTGTGTGGTCATTTTTCAGTGGTTTGTTTTTTGGGGTGGGGTGGGGTGAAGGCTATTTCGGTCTAGGATAGCCTTTTCCCTCCCTTTGGAAACACTTGTTCCATTGGGTTGCTGTGAGTTTTACAGACCATATGGCCATGTTCCAGAAGCATTCTCTCCTGACATTTCACTCACATCTAGTTCTGTTGGTAAACTAATGCAGTCTCAAGCTTCCAAAGCCCCCCCCCCCCCCCGCCCAATCTTGGGTGCTTGGGTTATAATTTAAATGCTAGCACTGTAATATGAAATCATATTTCCCATGACAAATATACTACAGAATTTATCAGTTTAATAATTTGAATATGTTGTCTGTCAGATATCATGTCACCAGCTCACTACCAGAACATAAAATATTAATACTGTGAGCAGGTGTTTTAAATAGCATTGTCTTTCTTAAATTCTACACACTGAGTCAATATAATCACAGGATAAACAATAGCTGTGGGTGGGTGGGGAGCCCATCACTACTTATGGCTTGAGCATTCACTTCCCTGCTCAAGACACAAACCACTCCTAAACATTATTTCAAATACAACATGTATGTTATGTTAATACCATTTTATTATTCCATTACAAACCACCTATAGATGGTGGATGAGACCACTGTATAGTCAGTCTTTTGTACCTACGGATTCTGCATTCATGATGTGAAAAATCTCCATCTCCAAAAACCAAACCTTGATTTTGCCATTTTACTATACTACCAGCAGATAGGTATGGCCCTACTCCCTAGCATTTCATTAAAGTCAAGGTGTCACCTTCAGACATCCCAAAAGGAAAGAAAGCAAGTTAAGGTAAGAAATGAGTCAATTTCATGCTATTTATAACAACTGAACTGCTTCACAATAGTGAGCAAACATGTCAACAATAGATCACTCCATGTTCATGGATATGAAACCAGATAACACAAATGCTTTGAAAAATACTGTACGTTAATTTTCGCGAGCCAAGAATAATCCCTAACTGAGATGGAAGAAAACTCCATATTCTCAGACTTCTAACTTTCCCATGACATCAATTTATTCATCACAATATTTACTTTATATTAAGAATGATGAAGAAATGACACCAAAAGAGCCAAACTGTATAAGAGAGGCAATGGGAAGCTCAATGTATTTGTATTACGAAACTACATTAAAAAAACTCAAATTGATATTTTTTTAAAGGTAGCATTAAATTGCAGTAATGGAGTGAAGGTCTAAATTAGGTAGAAGATAAGTTGCATTAGTAGTAAAGAGAACAAATAGTGCCAAAACAGGAAAGTGTAAGTGAACAGAACTAGCACAAGCAGGATTGGATGGTGGGAACTGTAAAATAAGACTAACTTGTCATCAATGTTGTTTTGAAGATATATGAGAGGTGATAAGTGGAGGCATTTATGATAGAATAAAAATAAATAGCACTGCATGAAGTACACATGAGCTACAGCAAACTGAACATGAAGCATTCACAAGAGAAATGAGGTAGGACGGATCATGCAAATGATTTTAGCAACAGGAATAAGCAGGATGAGGATGGAAAGATCAAGATATGGTAAGATTACAGATACACAATCATTCACAAATCGAGTAGGAGATGGAATTGGGTGGGAAATGGTCTTGAGTTAATATGCGTTAGAGAAAGCTGGACTAAAACACTCATATTGATATCTGAAGTCAGGAATATGTAGTTAATTTTAGCTGGTGTGTACAACTGCTAACAAAAACAAGGAGTTACAACAGAAGGAGCTACGACAGAAGCAGATAATGGCTAGAAAAGACATATTTTCAAGGTTTATGCATAGCAAGCATGGATCCAGTAATGGTAGATGAAATGCAATCAAGATGGCAGGATCTCTAATAAGCTTTAGCACAGTAGGATTATGAAATCTTTATTAAATATTTTCCAAGAAACAAACCATGTGTTTCTTCATTATGAATACATAACATGAGCAACCAGCTTGATGGGAAAAACGTCTGCTCACAAACTCCTTTTACAACATGTGCAAAGGAAACGGGGAGAAACCCAAGAATACAGTCTTACTTTCATTGTTTTCCTTTAACAAAGCATCATTATCTTCCTCATCTTCTTCGCCTGTTTTAATTTCTTCAGAAGGAGGCTATAATGAGAGAACTGAATATCACTGGATGATTTTGCTCAAAAGAGGGACTCTTGTGTGATGATTCCCCCGAAGCATATTAAGGTACAATAAAAAGTTTAGAAACGTATTTGGATTTTTAGAAAGATTATGTTTTGTTTTTAGTACAGAAACCTATCCAAAAATCAACACCAACAGCTACAGTTGTAACAAAAGACATTTTACAAACAATGGTTCATTGCATTTTTGAAACTCAGAAAACTGAAAATTTCTAAACAAAAAAATAAAACTGACCCAGAATTCACTCGAACTTCACTGTCAATATAATTCTCCTTTACCAGTGAATATCAAATGCCAAATGAACACCCAATGCAAAAGTATACCCTTCAAGACAGCTCACGAGAAAAATGCAAAAAGAAGACTTTCTTAATATGTTATAATTAGCTAGAAATTCAAAATGTCTGTTGCTTCTTTGCGGATATTTCCTTGCACAAATAATGCAAATGGCAAAAGTTTTTGTAGGTATGTTAGCATCACAGAATTGCAGGCACAGGGGTATCATGTTTTTTGAATTTTAATATCTTATGTGATATTTTATTTGTGTTTGTAATCTTATGCTGTTATAATTTTTATGTTTATGTATTTTATGTGCGGCACTTTGGAGTGCTTTTGTGAACTGCCCCAAGTCCCTTTGGGGAGATGGTGGCATGGTATAAATAAAGATTATTGTTGTTATTATTATTATTACTATTATCATCACTAGGACTTTTGAGCTCAAAGGCTTGCTGATGGAGTAAATACACTGTTAGGAATGCCTGACAGAAAACACCCATCCTCTGTTGAAAAAAAAACTCCCAAAAAAGAGAGTCTACCACCTTCCAAAGTGCTCTGCTTTACTATTGAACATCTCATATCATCAAGAAATCATTGCTAATATGTAATCCCAATAACTTTGTGATCTGAATCCATTAGTTTGGATCTGCCTGGAGCAGCAGAAAATAAGTCTGGTCAATCTGTGATAGCCCTAAAGAAATTTGAAGACAGCTATCATATTGTGGCACCTCTCAGACTTCTTCCTCCCAGGTGAAACATATCCAGCGCCCTCAACCATTTTTCACATATTTGGTTTCTAGACCCTTTATCATCTTGTTCACCTTACTTTGGACATGTTCAAGTTTATCTTTCTTAATATGGTAATTTGAAACATTAGTACAAAGCAATCAAATGACACTTCCAATTGATCTGGATGCTATTGATCCCTTGATGAAACAGAAAAATCACAGGCAACCTCCCCACCATCACCATCATAAAACTTAGAGACATTAAGGACTAGTTTCCAAGCTTTACTTTGTCATTCTCTGAGTTGACATAATTAAGAGTGTGTTTTAAACAGAGAGAGAGAGAGAGAATGACATTCCTGAGGTTTGAGAAACAAATTATTTTGACAAAAGAAATTTAAAGAGGAAATTAAAGTTTTCCAAGTACTATTACTTACAGGTAGTTCTTTAGCTAATTTGATGACCATGTTTTCAAGATATTCTGGTAAACTTTTAAACTGCTGGTTGGTTGGCTGGAAGAAGTGAGGACTCCTGCGTGCCAAGAGCCTTAATGCTCTCCAACCATAGTTAGAATTATTCACGACTCTGCAATGATAAAGTAAAAGAGAGCCTGAAGACAAGACATCTATTTCCACAGCTGTGTCACATAAGGCAAACTATATGTTTGGAACAAACATACATAGTTTGGGGTAAAATGGAACAGACATAAGATGGAGCAAAAAAAAGGATCCCCAGTACATACTTAAATTCTTTATCCACCATATTTTCAGGATCTGCCTGTTCAATAGCCTCTTCAAAGAACTCTTCCAGCGTAGGCATATATTCTCTAGAAAACAAAGGAAAGTTCAAAATTTAACTATCCAAGATTCCTCAATGTTATTGGGAGTGCATACACATCTGAAACTTTGACAGTTCCATAGGTGCCACCTTAAAATGGTTGCCATGGCAAATACAACTGGACACAGGAGGGCAAGGAATGTCGTGGTTATGAAAAATAAATCCTGTGATGGAACGTCCCACCCCAAAATCAAAGAACACACAGTTGCCACAGATTCATGGTTCATAAAGACTCCTATGACTCCAAAACAAGAACCCAAGGTATAGATCAGGCATGGGCAAACTTCGGCCCTCCAGGTGTTTTGGACTTTAACTCCCACAATTCCTAATAGTTGAACCTGGTATAGATCCTCCAACAGAGGAATAATTAGACTACTGGCACTGTTTAAGCCATGGTACAGAGTACCGACCACTTTGTAAAAATAAATATATAGTTGGTTCTCTGGTTCTACATCCATGGATTTAACGGCCCTTTGAAGGCAACCAAATAGCTGATGTGATCCTCCCAAAAAAGGGTCTGATATCCCTGTTCACAGCTATGCTCTTATACGCAGGACCGGCATGCCACAGAGCAGGTGAGGGAGATTTAATAATTTATTTAACATTGTACTTAATTCCAATATGGAGCCCCAAGTCATCTAAAAAACTGATTAAAATTATGTCTAGTATAAAAGTAAAAAAATGTAAGACAGTTTTAAAAGCAGTTAAAATTAAAAAATACCCCCGGTGGCACAATGGGTTAAACCCATGTGCCAGAAGGACTGATGACCGAAAGGTCGGCAATTTGAATCCAGGGAGCGGGGTGTGTTCCTGTCTGTCAGCTCCATCTTCTCATGCGGGGACATGAGATAAGCCTCCCACAGGATGGTAGAACATATGGGCGTCCCTGGGCAATGTAATTGCAGACAGCCAATTCTCTCACATCAGACGCGACTTGAAGTTTCTCAAGTTGCTCCTGACATGTGTTATTTAAAAGACAGTACAAATCCAAATTCAAGACAACCTTGATTTGAAAACTTCCTGCACCATACAGTTACCATTCAAAGGCCTGGGGGAACAGGGTGCATATCTGGCACAATATCAACAATCTAATTCACCATGATCTCACTCCTCACCCCCCGCCCTCTTGTTCTCATGCTCACCGGCTCTCAGATTTACAAGCTTCCATGTTATCTGGGCATAAATTCCAGAGCCGAGTCAATTCTTCACTGTAAAGAGAAATGCAAATCAGATTGTATGATCTGTACATTTTCTGATGTGTCATACATTTGAAATACAAGTTATTACACTAGCACCTAAGATTAATTAGCTCAATAACAAATACTACTGTGTTATGAGAAAGGGAGATTTCTTTCATTCCTGACACAAAACCTAACAAAACCGACAACTGCTATTCACAATTTATCCTGTAATGGAACTGATTTTAACCTAAAGAAATAAAGCTTTCCATATAATACTGCTCTGGTGCTTCCTAAAAGAAAAGCTCCCTAACATGTGAAGGCCCCAAGATAAATACTAAAAAATATATACAAGAGATGCCTACAATGAAATAAAATATTCCTAAAGCAAAATCTTGACATTTAACCAGCACTTGTTCCACTATCACTGCTCATTCTGCACAGCAGCAAAAGTCATCTACAGAAAGGGACAGGCATGAAAAAAAAAGTTTGGCTTACTTCCCCATGAGAATTTTTTTGCTGGGTCCTTTTCCCAGGAAGTCTTCAGGAGCGGGTCTCTTTCGCACAAAAGGTCTGATTGCCTTAGATTCGCCTGGTCTACAAGGAGGAATGGCCCAAAGAAGAAATTAGTGAAGTTCTTTGCTGAATTCTGAAGGATGCAAATATCTTCCTATCTTRAAGAGATAGAAACTGAAAAAATGCAGAATGGGGAACATAACTGATTCAGAGACAATATTCTTGGCCAGAAGCCCACAAAAGGCGGGGGGGGGGGGGGCTTGCACTGTACTCTGCCATTGGCTTGAGGGTAAGCCCCATAAATCACTGTTGTAATACCAGAGATGTGCAACTGCTAGAAAAACAGCTGTAATTTTTTTTTCTGATCGGACAAGCGCTCACATTTTCTATTTTTGTAGGAGGCAATACAGGGGCAATCTACTAGTATGAGGATTTAAGGTTTTATTTAACTGTTACATGTGTAGCATTTGGAAAGAACTTTGACCAATACACATAATCTGCTGCTGGTGAGTATACTGATTTAAGTCAAGATTATTTATTTATTTACCCTATTTATACCCTGCCTTTCTCTACCCTGATGGGGACTCAAGGCGGCTTACATATAGGAAATTACTCAATGCCTTAAAACACATACAATTCCAGTAACATTAAATTAAATCAATACATGTTAAACATTTAAAACGTTTTAAAACATTACATTCAATATAAAATCACACTTTTTTTCAAAAAAAATTACACTTGAATTATTTTTAAAATAATAATAGTAAAAGTAAAATAATAATAATAATAATTTGTATCCTGCTTTTTTTCTCCAAAAAGGGACTCAAAGCAGCTCACAATAAAACAATACAATACAATTTGAAACCTAAAAATATGTAAACATTCATTCATTTACCACCTATATACAACTACTTTGTTCAAATCTGAAGCACCTTTTCTAAAAGTAGCAAGAAGTGGGAATCTACATTTACAAAGATGAATTCCATATATCATAGCTCTAATTTGGTGCCAAAATGGATACAAAGACTTTAAAACAATATAACATAACACATTTATTGGACAAAGTGGATTTATGCAGATAGCATATGAATATGTGGACTGTGATGGAATATTCATCCAAACTCTAAAATTAAAATAACTTTTAGTTTGTTACCTTTCTTTCACAAAACTTGGACAGCCTTCATTTTTCCATGAATTCCAGTTTTCTTCTGTGTTTAATATGTGCTGTAAAGGTAAGTGGATAAAAATGTGTAAGCACACAATTGTTATCATTTGAAGCATTAGTACTGGGATGTTTTTAGAAAAAGAAAAATTACCCGATAACATCAAATAGTTAAGAGAAAGTAACAACAATCCCTGTTTCATTTGAGGGCAATATTTTTATATAAATAAACATTTTATATAAAATATTTGTTTAGAAATCCTTTTTTAAAAAATGTAGCCTCACATAAAGTAAATTACAATTATTCAACCTGGAGGTTACGACTGTATTGTAGCCAAGCTATCTCTTGCTGGATCAAAGAGGGGAAACGCTTCAAACTACAACCCTAATTCTTTCAGAGGAGTGAACCTTCTGAAAAACATGCTGATCAACTGGACAACTGTATAGAATTGATATCATCCAATAAACAAAATTTAATTCAGTTTAGTTTATGAAGACTCACCTCCACCATTTTTGCAAATCTCTCTCCATCTGGGGGGTTTTCTGAAAGAAGCTGTTTATTGTAAGAAGCACATGATTAACAACAGTGACCTTGACAGTCTGTTACCAACCAACTTTATTTTGGCTATAACCCTAACAGGGTAAATAATATAATACTTCCTGGGCTTTTAATTTTATCTGTTATTTCATTTACAGTATAGATTACAATAGCTTAATTTGACAATCCAACATAAAAACAACATTACACAGAACCATATAAGCAGACTATGGCAAAAACAAGTATCACAGACATTGCAGAGATATTTTGTAAATTGTGATGCATAAGCCCCATGGTGGCACAGCAGGTCAAACCGCTGAGCTGCTGAACTTGCTGACCGAAAGGTTGGTGGTTCATATCTGGGGAGTGGGGTGAGCTCCTACTGTTAGCCCCAGCTTCTGCCAACCTAGCAGTTCAAAAACATGCAAATCTGAGTAGATCAATAGGTACCACTTCTGCGGTAAGGTAACAGTGCTCCATGTAGTCATGCTGGCCACATGATCTTGGAGGTCTCTATGGACAATACTGGCTCTTCAGCTTAGAAATGGAAATGAGCATGACCCCCCAGAATCAGACACAACTAGACTTAATGAGAGGGGAAACCTTTACCTTTACCTAAATATATATACCGATTTGTAATGCACCACTGACCTGATAGACTAGTTTGGTAGTATCTTCAATCCAGAGTGATTGTTCATCAGTGAGAACGTAGTTTGAACTAAAACAAAGAAACAGACAGTTAAGAGCCAGACAATGGAATTCACTGGTTTGAATCTAAAGCATTTTCCCATCAAGTTTAGGTAGTTTCCTAAATGAAGTTCTACTTAGAATACATCAGATACCAGACACTGGGAGAAAGTGGCTCCCATTAATTTTCTTATCTCCCTTGCAGTTGCCAGTTAACCCCTTCACCCCACATTCTGGAGTTTTCAACAGCAAATTTTCAAATTGGAGGCGGGGGGGGGGGGGGGGGGGGGGGGGGGGAGAGAAAAGCTATTTTATTGCTCTTTATACAAGTGGAATTATTTCTCTCGATCAGAAATCTTCTACATAGGAGAAGCAGAATACAGTATTTTGGATTCAGCCCAACCTATTTAAGTACTTGAATGACACCTTTTAAATAGTTAGTGTGACTAACTATAACTATCTGGGGAAAAAAGTGGAAGTACTAACCAACCCCAGTCAAGTGTTTTAAGCCCTTTTCAGTTCAACTGGGAAAATTAGATAAATGCTTTTTAAAGGTTGGATATATGCACAAAAAGAAAGGATAAGCTAGCAAACACACATTTTGGCGCCTCAAATGTTAGCCCTGTTTCTGGGTATATTTGACCCGATACTAAAAAATGGCACAATTTTCGCCCTATTAGCTCTACTTTTTGAGATACAGAATACATGCCATCAGTTAATGGTTTTACAGAAAATATGCCATCTATCAGTTGCCATCTGCTTGCCCATAGAAAATCATGATAACCATATCTAAGAAACTAGAGCTGATGTGGTTTATCCAATGCAATTTTCTGAATCAGCGACCTAAAAACCAAGACACCAAGAAAAATATATATTTTTGCTTGGGCTGTGATAGCTTTCAAATCCAATGCAAACATGTGTTCAAAAACATCATGAGAAGAACATAAACAAATATTGGCAATATCTAAGATTTTACTAGAAAGAAGAAAGCATTGTATAATAAAAAAACCCCAGAAGTTCAATTTCTGCAATACATTTCCTTCGTTTTCATAAGATCATGTGGAGGCAGTTTTTAATACTGAATGCAAAGAGATACAGAACAAGAATATGGGTTGCAATGTGTCATATTTCAACTGTTTTAAATTAAAATAAACCACTTGTGAACAAGGTATAAGATTTTATTTAATGGCTAGTTCTTAGCTTACCTTTTAAATTTCACTTGTCCCTTAAGATACTGAAATAATATTAAATACTGCAATAGGATGTGGCGGCGGAAGTTGCTGTCGCTCAACTGTAAATCCATTAACTGTTGAAAAACCCAAACAACTCACATATAATGATTCCGGCCATGAAAGCCTTTGACAACACAACACGGCTCACATATAACATTCTACAGCTCAACTGTCTTTTATAGCACAGAAATGGAATAATGGAATAATTGCTGGACGACTGGAGGAGCAGTTCACAATATATGGTTTTATTCCTACACCACCAGCTCAAATGAGGAGTTTTTTTCAAGTAGATATACTGATAACCACTTTCCTTCAGTTTTATTATATAGCTGTGTTCAACCAAGTGGATACTTAGACAAGTTTGAAAGGTAGAAAAAGTGTGGGTTTTTTTTTGGTGGTGGTGACAGGGGGGGGGGGCACTGTGGCTGTTGTTTTTTAACAGGGTGTCAAAATGAGAAGTTGGGCTTACCATGAATCATTACACTATGTAACAAGATTTTTGTTTCTTTGTTATAAATGTCATTTCCTAAGTAGTTCTATCATAAAACATGGAAAAAGTTTATTAAACTGCAAAACCTTTGTTTTTGCGGGACGTCCTGCAGGACATTTTGCTATAGTTTTTCAATGAATCTCTCACAGAGCCTCAACCAATTCAACATGGTTTGTGGCAGCCACAAACATGAAGTTTCTGGAGTATAACAACTACTTTCAAAGTAAGTACCACACAATTAAACACTTAATCTCATATCATATTTGGTCGTAAAGGCTCACATCTTGAAATTAACTGCTTTAAAAATATTAGCACCAAAGCCACTTTTGCACAATACCTTTTCACTTGTGAGGAATTTAGCAAAGTAAACATGTTCTCCTCCTGTTTTTAGTTCCTCTAATTTCTTTCTTGAAGCCTGAGTGTCATCTAATTTGTAGCTTTTAAAAACAGCCAACACCTCTTCAGAATACTTCAGAAAGTGAAAAAAAAATAAAAATACAGAATTAAAGGAAAACCAAAGCCACAAAGATTATCTGCAATTGTATAAAATGCTGTCATATGCTACCACACTTTTTGGATTGCCCATTTTGCCTCTCATGTTACAGAGCTTAGATATGCAACACATACATGATGGCCATTAAAGAACATTATATATATATACAGCAGTAAATGCCACACTGTAAACAATGAAATATATACTTTTCAAGTCTATTTTGCAATGTACTGGGTGCTTTAGTAGCACTTGGCAAACCAAATTTAGAAATTTATTTCATTTTTAAAAATTATATGCCAATATAATTTCTCACACAATTAGAATAATTATACTAACATGTCAGTTATCATGGAAACTAGTATATGTGTGCTAGACCCTTGCCACTCCCCACTCATTATAAACAGGCTAGATGGGAACTAGGTGAATGGGTAATTGGGGCTGTCAGTATGCCCTTATGTAATGCATAACAGTTACCCAGTGACTAACATACAAATTTTCAATAAAGTGTGACAACTTCTCAGCTCCAGGGGCTATTGGATGAAATAGATAATCCAGAACCATTTCAATTTGGTTTTAGGCCTGGTTATGGGACACAGAGAGCAATGACAAATAAATATGCTAGAAAGTAGATGTGGCATATATGTCCCTAGTAGTTTCAACCATGGTGTCCTTTTGGGCTACTTCCTGGGATGGGGCCTGCAGTGGTCCTGCTCCTTCTCATAGTTTCAATCTTCTCCAACTCCCAGAAATCCCAGCCAGTTTACCAGCTGTTAGAACTTGTGAGAGCTGAAGTCCAAACACCTGGAGGCCCAAAGGTTGAGACCACTATCCCAGAGGAACAAGCCCAGAAGGTGGCGATGGAGTCCTGTTTGACTTCTTGGTTGCTGATCTGTGAAGTCCTTCTGATCTCTGCTTTGTGACCAGTGCAGTTGCATCCAATAACTAGTGATGTTGTCTGCAGGTTTGGGTTTTGATTCTGTCCCTATGTTGATGACACTAAACTCATATTTCTCACGAAGTTGTTTTAGTTATAAACCAGTGTTTGGAATTCTGAATTGTTTTGATGAGGAAAAACAAATGATAATAAATCAAAACATGACAGAGATGCTGTTGTTCAGTCCAAAGGGAAATCAGGGAAAAGGGATACAACAAGTATCGGATAGGGCTACTCTGGTCCTGAAGACTCAGGTTTGCAGTTTGGGTGTACTCTCAAACTTAGCATTCATGCCTAAGAACATATTGTTTTCAATGTGGCATTCACTGCAATTGCAGTTTTCCTACTTGGATATTTACTTTATGCCTTTTTATACCCCATTTCTAACCACTTTAAGTTGCATTATATATGAAAAATTCCCCACCTGCCACACAATTTCACCTTAATGTTATAGTTTACCCATAGTTTCAATCTTCTCCATATACCTGTTTGTATTTAGGTTTTGTTTTCAACAAGGTCTTTTATACATTATAAATTAAAGTGTATGAGGACTTCCATTTGTGTTATATACTTGCAAAAGAGCAGATCAAAAGTTTCATAAATACTTTTTTGTGGGCAATGCATCTCTTAGATATGGAAAGTTTAAGCAATAGAATACAATATTTCTTCAGAGATGGAAAAAAAAAACCTCCCATCAGAGTCATTACCTTAAGAAATGTTTTCCATGAAACTTTTTCATAACATTGCACAGGATTCCTAAAATAGTCTTGAAGTGACCAGAACTTTCTGTACAGATTGTAATCTATCGGAATGGAACTGAAGAAAACAACAAAGACAACATTTCTGGCAGTTAATGGAGCCAAATTTGTTTTTCTTTCACTTATATTTATATCCGGTCTTTCTGTGCTAAATTCCCAGCCAAGATGAACAAAACTTCGAAATAAGGCAAGATTTGTCCAAGACTGCTGATGTCTTCTACAGCACACAGTGATTTTTCTGCTTCCAGTGTTAAAGTACTAACAGATACAACTTCAACAATTCAATAATAAATATCTTTCTTAAGTATCTACTCTTTAAAAAAAAAGAGTATGGGTTGCTAAATAAAACCCTTTAAGCAGTTGTGAAATGGTTCAATTGAAAGGGTAACACCTCAGAAACATCATAAACATAATCAAGTGAAGTTTTGAGAGGGTTTGTACATCTGAAGGAATTAGAATTTATCTGTTGCAATGATGTATAGTTATTTACCTACTTTTCTCACTTAGCTCTTTAGACATAGAAATAAATCCCTTACAGTTTAGTCATATTTTCTGAAAGTCACAAAAATGTAGGAAGGACATCTGTGTAACGTTTACTATACTGTATATACTCATGTATAAACAAATTTCACATATAGATTGAGGGCAGAGGTTACATTTTGATATGACCCATTTTGCAGAGATAGAAAAGCCCCAGGGCCATCTCAGGGCTAACTGCCCTTGGCTGCCAATGCCATTTTCCGCTCAGGTATTCAAAAAGGGACCAGAAGTGATGTTGTAATGAAGACAGTAAAATGTGAATGATTTTTTTATGTTCTCAGAAGAAACTAAGCTTTGACATTTTGGCACTCTATTCAGAGAAAGGGGTGGTTCCTATTTTAGTAAGAGTTAAGGTACGGTGGATCCAATTTTTTTTATTTATCAACCTTGTAACATTTCTAGATATACACATGAGTATGTATAATAAGTCAAAACTCGAGGTCATGCTGTTAACAAATTTATTTCAACAAAATTTCACGCACTAACTATATCACCAGCTATCAGATAGTGTATTTCCTTATTGTATAGGTGTTAAGGAAGAAAAGTATTTTATTGTGGTAAAATATTGATTAAAAACCAGCATTCTTTGAATCAATAACCACCTGATTATTTTGTACTTATTTCATTTTGTAAAAACCAAATGACTTTATATGTGTTATTGTGACAATTTTATGCTTATATTGTTTTGTTAATTTTATGTTTATCTTGTTTACTCTGTATGCATTGATGATGTTACTTGGAAACCGCTCTGAGCCCCCTCAGGGAGATTATTATTATTATAACTTTATTTGTACCCCGCTAGCATCTCCCGAAGGACTCAATGCGGCTTACATAGGCCAAGGTCTCAAAACACAATACAACAATACAATACCTAAAGCAAATTAAAAACAGTTAAGCAGAAGAAACAACAACAATAAACAATACATCGAGACACTATAAAACTGGGCCAGGTCAGAGTAATGGGTACAAGATTAAAAGTGCTGATGTGGCAGGAGATAGAGCGGTATATAAATAAAGTTTTGTTGTTGATTAACATACCTACTAGTAGGGGCTTCATCATCTCCCATTTCCCCTTCTTCTACTTCCATTCCTTCTTCTCTGTCCTCTACATGCTGAAGGAAAAGAGGGCAGTTAAGATTTCTTCCCGTCAGTTTCTCAATGTCACTCACTTTCTCTCTCCCCCACTGTGTGTGTGTGCGCATGCACGCACACACACACACACACATTTATATTCCTAGAATGTATATCAACACTGAAGAAACAGTTGCATTATTATTATGTTTACTGTGAAATGCACATTATAGTTAACATCAAAATATTTCAAGCCACATGAATTATTTGCAGTTTGGAAAACAAACACCACTGAAATCAAATAGCCTTTTACTCTATAGATCAGCGTGATGTAGTGCTTTCAGCACTGAACAATTCTGGAGACCACATCTTGGCTATGGAAACCCACAGACCTTGGGCAAGTTATACTCTCAGCCTTAGAGAAAGGTAAAAACAAAGTTTCTTGGAGGCCCATTCCACACAACCAAATAAAATCCCAAATTATCTGATTTCAACTGGAATATATGGCAGTATGGATTCAGATAACCCAGTTCAAAGAGTACTGTGGAATTTTCTACTTTGATATTCTGGGTTATATGGCTGTTTGGAAGGGCCCTGAATAAATTTTGCCAAGAAAACCCTGTTATACGTTAGTCTTAGGACTGCCGCAAGCTGGAAACATTTTGAAGGCACACAGCAAGTTAAGAATTCCTGCATTTCACTGAATCTAAAGCATCACTGAATGTTACCCCAACTCTTTTTGTTAAAGCTTCATTTTTTAAAAAAGAATTTCTTTAAATATTTTAAAGAATTTCCTCTGCATAATACCTTGTTTTTGTTTCAACCTGGAAGTCATTTTGTTGGCATGAGTCTTTTTTCTAGCTCTATGGGCCGTTGGGGAGACAAGAGAAGTAGGAAGTAATGCTTAGTTCTGCTAGACCAGCAAACAGCTATCCAGTTGAGAACAAAATAATGGGGGTTGGAAGGTTGGGGCTGGGGCCCTTCCTCCTCTGTCAGAGGTAAGCCAATTTAAAAAAACCCCCAAAATCTGAGAGTCTAAAGTGCCATCAACTGTAAGATGCATCCTGTTTTTGAAGCTCTTAAAATTGGAAAAAGTGTTACTTAGAATCAGTGAAATACAGTATTATTAAAAAATGGTTACAAATCCCGTTGTTCATTTGTGGGGGGAGTACCCACTGATGGAATAATAATCTGCAGGAGAGAGGTGGAAGCAGCAATTTCTTCACCTTTCCCTTCTGTACTATATTCTGGTTTTGTCTATGCCTCTCAAAGAACATCACAAGGTGAACCTAAAGCAGCAGATATCCAATGCATTTATATCACTTTCTAAGATCTTCAACCAGCTTCCAACTGTTGTTAGAGCTGCTCCCCTAATGAAAAATTCAGGATTTTTTAAAAACATATTTCAACTCTTTCTGCAGAGTTACAGCTATACAACTTTCCCCATAGTATCATAGTGCCCACTGAATGTGTATATACATAACAGAGAATAAAAAGACAGAGATGTGGGACCAAGCCTTCGGGCAACAAGCACTGCAAGAAACTAACAGGATTATGTGCAACTGAAATTTGGAAAGGCCTTGGACTACAGTTTCTGGATTATGTGTTTTAATGTTTATATGAATATGTTTCAATTCCATGTTTTAAATGTCTAAATGTTGTTTACGTTTTTTTTTGTTTAATATGGTTTAATAATTTAATTTGTAGTTGTATGTTACTGTTGCTTTTATGCTAGGTTTTTTATGTTAGGCATTAAATTTTGCAATGAATATATTAGAAAATGTTTTGAGACCACCCCCCGGCCAGGATAAGAAAATGGCATATAAATGAAGTAAATAAATAAATAAAATACAACAATAACCTTCTGTCCAAGGGTGCTTTCTTGTTCAACAGTATTGAAAACAGTTATATTTTCCAGATTAAATTGGCTTTGCAAGTTAAGCCCTGTAGGAAAAGAAGACACACTTAAAACCGCTATATATCGACATGCACTACATATATTCTGAGATGACAACTGTTAACTGCATATGCCAATAATATGTAAAGCAATATTAGGATTGCTCTTGTTATTTAAATGTTCTGTTCCCCAAAACTAGGTCTAAAGGTGGCTTAAAAATAAAAACAAAGATGTTATAGTAGAAATGTACAGAATTTACATTAAAATGTAATAATAATAATGAAGAATTTATTGCCCGCCTCTCCCTGTGGCTCGAGGCGAGATACAAATAATAAAAACAAGAGGTAAAACACTATTAAAAGACATGCAACAAGATACAAGTTAAAATACAAGTTAAAAGCAACTGAGTCCCCGCCCCCCCACCCAGGGGTGAGAAAGAACCCATATAAATACTGTAAATAAATAAATAATAAAATGCAGATTAAAATTCACAACTTAAAATCAACCAGGTAGGCCTGCCATAAAAACAATTATGCTACTAAAAACAATGTAAAGCATACAATTAAAAGTAATGTGTAGTTTTAAAACAATACAATTAAAATCTGTAGAACACTCTATAAAAAGTTCTTCCTCTTAAAACATTTGGTCCTTAGAAGTCTGTCAGAATAAAAATGTTCTGCTTGCTGTCAAATGGCTATCAAGGACGGAGCTATTCTAGACACTCATATGAAAGGAGTTCAAGGATCTGGGAGCAACTACTAAGATGACCTATCTTCTATACACCCCAAAATACTTCCCTGGTCTTTCTCTGAGGCCAGGGAAGCCGATATACAGAGATAAGACTTGCCAGCTACCCAAGATCTAAGCTATACATGGATGTATACGTTATAACCAGCACTTTAAATTGTATTTCACCACATAATAGTCATACTTTTAGCCAGATTACATGGTGACAACTATTACATGGTGAAATGTTTTTGCACTACATGCTTCCCTCTGCTGTTAGTTGAGGGAAACCTCATAGCTGCAATGGGAGCCAGTACGTGGACAGCTGAGTGCGACTATTATGCAAGAAATATCAGATTTACCAATTCTGGCACTCCAAAAATGAGGGCATGACTTATATGCAGTGGCAACTATTATGTGACGATATGATACTTACAACCATTGTAAAATTAGAATACAATTGAATTGGCAATATATGCGACAAACTTCACTTCAGCCTTTCCTTTATATTGTTCATTACGCCTTGAAACAGGATTGAATCTCACCTGATTTTTCTGAAAGTGGGAATAATCTAGCTAGGAATAGTTGGATCCTTCCACAAAACACTGTATTTTGGGATTTAGATAACCTTCTTAAAAGATCTAAAACAGATATAAAAGAACACGTTTATTAACTGATGATTAATTTTTACATGCAGTAATTGCGATCATGGAAAAAAATGATAAAATATATTCTGTAGTTCTATCAATCTATTTCTTCAAATCTTAATAGTTTCTTTTTTTTTCTTTCCAAAAACTCCCCCCACCCATGTGATTAGACCTGCAATGCTAAACTTACTTACTAGGAAATAGGAAAACTTTAAAAGACAAGGTACCATTCTATTTGTCATTCTATTGTGATGGGAACGGGGGTCTGTTTGATGAGAATAAATGTAACCTCAACATCAGAGTTGTCAAAAGGCAATTATTCAATTTCTCTTATAACAAATGCTGATATAAAAGGACACACAAAAATATCACGAAGAAGAATCTCTAAGAAGTGAAGCATATTTTTCACTGGAGGCACAATCCTATCACACACCTCTAGAGACAGACACAACATTTATTTTTGTTCAAACTGACATGCAAATATCACAATAAGCATCACATAAATCACTGCTGTTTTATACTGAATTGGAATATGGACCATGACAATTTAATTAAGTATAGTTTGAGATAAATCATTTTTTATAAAAGCAGTGTTAGCTGCAGAAAAAATATACTCACCATTGCACATTCTCAGCAAATAATTCTTTCCTGCTGAGTAAAATGTGTTCTGAAAAGAAAAACACCAATCAAGAGGGATAAATAAATTTTCTATAGTTACATTGTTGGTTTAATTGACACTAGAAATGAATTGACTTGAGCTTGTATTAATTTTGAAGCCCTAAATCCAACTGGTAATTCCAAATCTACAAGGCCTTCGACACTACAAGGCAGTCTTCAAAATGCAGGTAGTTTTATATTTTGACAGACAGTTAAAAGATTAAAATAATTTTTAAAATTGCACCCAGAAACAAGCACGCAATAATGAGTCATATGTTCTGATTCTTGAATTATGACTGAAAAAGAGACATGACTGTCATTTTTCTGGTCCAAGTGGAATTCCCAATCTGTTCCAGTCATGCTCACATAGACAGCATCACAATAGTCTACTTGGAATTAATTAAGAGATGAACAACTGATGTCAGAACTATTTTCTGCAAGAGATGCTACTGACAGCAAGACAATCATACTTTTCGAAAATTTTAGAGCAATGCAGCATTTCGAATATAGAATTATGTGCAATTTGACCTTGGAAAGGCCTTAGACCTTGAACTCTGGATGGTGTGTTTTTAACTTTGAAGGTATTGTAATCATGCCTAATATGTTATAATTTTAAACTATTTTAGGTGAATTTGTTGTTTTGAGGCACTGTGTATGAGCCATTGTAAGCTGCCTTGAGTCCCCCTGCTGGAATAGAGAAAGGCAGGGTATAAATATGGCAAATAAATAATAAATAAATACCTCAAGAAAAATACTGACTTTAAAATTTATATTCAAATAAGCTATTTTCCTGGTCCTTAAAACTGAGTGTGAGTGGCTGTTTCATTTTAAATAATGTTTTTCACTGTTTATTACAAAATATGTGGTTTCTTACTACTTCTCAGAAGATTAAAGAAACCATAATGTATATGTGCAAGCTAGTTATGTTTTGTTCGTTATTTTTAAAAACCTTTAGTATCTTTCATGGAGTTGTTTTGAAAACTATTGTTTGTATAGCTACCGAGAATTTTTAATGCCAGCTAGAAACACCGTAATGTTTTCATCTGACACCAGTGCCATACTGCTCTTCTTCCCTGAACACAGAAGGCAATGATTCTAAATATCAGATACAGTACTGAACATCATATGCAGATATAACTTCCCCACCCTCCTGACATCAAGGAAGGAATACATCCATTCATTTCAAGGACAGAATACCAAAAACAGTTAGACTCATAGAATTATGGAGTTGTAAGTCACCTCGAGGGTCATCCAGTCCAACCCCCTTCCAAGAAGCAGGAAAATCACATTCAAAGCACCCCTGACAGACGGCCATCCAGAGCAACCCAATTTTTATTATTTAAGTCACTCTGGAACAACAGACAAATAATGGTATTTCTTTAAAACATTCTCCTTTCGGAAATAACTTGTACAACTAAAAGTGGAATCTTAAAATAATATCACTTACTGATTTCCATGTGGTTACATTTTTTTCCACGAAGGTGAAAATTTTGTCACATTGGTCCAAAGGAAGGCAATCCAGGACATCTCCAAGGAGTACAAAAGGAGTTGATGCTGTACATATACCTTCAAGGAACAGAATATTTTTGTGTACTGACTATAGTAATTTACATTTTAGAAACAGACATTTTAGAAAATTCTACTCTTATAGTATGAGCTACCTTTTTACTGTAATACTTACCCAATGACTCTACAGATTCTAAGGAGAGTCTTCTTCATTGGATGTACGTATATAAAGGGAATAAGCCAAATCTACTGACCTTAAATAATAAATCTATTAATGTAGAGAAAAACGAGAAAGCATCCACTGGCAACACAAAGAATAAGCATAACTCAATATACCTTTCCAAAATAATTACAATGTGTTTTGCCCAGCTTTATTCTGAGGCTGTCAAGTGGAACTGAGGAAAATAGGATATTTCAAAAGATTAAGCTTTCTAATACTCACCTTCTGTGACCCCATTAATAACAAGGGAGATGATGGCCAAGACATTTTCACAGGGAGATTTATTTATCTATAGAAAAGTAATTGAAGGCTGTGTGTAAGTTGTATATAAATAAAATATTATTAAAATATATGACTTAATTTAACAACAGTTTGTGAAACATTGAAGTCATACTTATTTTAATGGATTAAATGTCTATACAGTGAGCTAACCAGATCAAAACACCTCACTTAACTAAATGGCAGCAACATGAATGTAGACACATTGAAATGTGCATGTTCATATTTCAGTAATTTAATAATAAGGAATATGATCATATGTGTTTTTTTTCATATCTGTGTGAGGTCTGAGAACCAAACCCCTGCTAATATGGTGGGCCTACTGTGTTCACTAATGTGAAGTTACCCAATTCATTGCATCAGTAACTCTCAAACAATCACAAACTACATTTATCTGGCACTCACCAATCCTAAGAGATGCTGGTTAACACAGAGTCTACTTCTACCACACTAATAAAGCTGTGGTGCCTTTTTTTTAAAATAGAGACAACTTGCTTTAAAATGATTTGTGGTTTAACGAACTTAGTGACTTCCCTTAACAGTAATATTATTCCTGATGCATAATAAAGGATATTATTCACATTTTACTTACCATAAAATTCATAATTGCTGTATCCTTATTTAAATTAAGCCATTTAAATCAACAACAGAAAAGTGTATAGATTTGTATAGATTTTATAGTAAGAACTCACAATTTCTTCTTCTACGGCAACTCTGAAAGCTTGATCCAAGGTAAACTTTTTTTCATTTTCACTACAAATAGACAAAATCATAAGACTGTTTTGTCAAAGATATCCACATTAATAAACTTTTGGAGTAATTATGCAATAAAAAGCAAACTGAAATGTGTTACCTTCCAGGTATCTGACTGAAAGCATTGAGTAAAGGTTTAATGTTTTTGCTCTTGAGAGCATCTTGTGTAGAGTTCTGAAAATATAAATGAATGAAAAAGAAACAGCTTTTTAGTTGTTGGCAGAGATACTATTTTTTTATTAGTATGTGCAAATTTTAAGAAATGTCTCCTAAAATATACACAAAATATTTACATGTCAACTTTCTTTTATGACAGAAGATGGAACAGATGTCACTCTCAGGCATACACATGATCCAGACCTGCTTTACTCTGGCACTGATGCACCAAGTATCTTTGGGTAATGTCATGTGTCTGAAAGGCTTATAATCCTATATTCACTTAGCAATGCATCAAATTATATTCAGTTTTCCTCCAAAATAATCTGTTTAAACATATGTTGTCTTGATAAATAAATAACACTCTCAAACAATGCACTGAAAATCTAGGCACTCTTTGGGCACGTTAAGGAAATCCTACATTAATGGATACATGACAATTCTACATAGCATAAAACAGTCTAAATGAGAAAGGAAGTTACATTGATTCAAGATGTTCCTGAACTGCATCTGCCACAATCCCTTCCTACTAGCTAGGACTACTGATAGTTACTTGGAGTTACAGCCAGTCTATGTTTAGAGGGCTGAAAAAGTCTTCTACCTAACTTAAGCCAAAATTAGTTGAACCAGATAAACATTAGGCTTGTGCACATTAAGCTTGCTTAATTAAGCTCCCTGCTGTCCTTCCCTCGGCAGGCTAAAACCTTTCATTCAGGCAGCCTCTTAAAGATGGCTGTGTTTAAGATCAATTCAGGGTGTTGCTGTGGTTTTTAACTTTGTTTTAATGGTTTTTAATTGAGAATTTTTGAATACTGTTTATATTTATTCCTATGTAAGGTAAAGGTTAAGGTTTACCCCTGATATTAAGTCCAGTCGCGTCCTACTCTGGGGCTTGGTGCTCATCTCCATTTCTAAGCCGAAGAGCTGGCATTGTACGAGACATCTCCAAGGTCATGTGACTGGCATGACTTCATGGAGCACCGTTACCTTTCCGCCGGAGCGGTACTTATTTATCTACTCACATGTGCATGTTTTCAAACTGCTAGGTTGGCAGAAGCTAGGGCTAACAGCAGGAGGTAATCCCGTTTCCCGGATTCGAACCGGCAACCTTTCGATAAGCAAATTCAGCAGCTCAGGGGTTTAAACCATTGAGCCACCGGAGACTCCTAAATGTCTGTATATTTTAAATGGTTATGCTAATACTTGTATGTTAAACTGCTTTGAGTCCCCTTCAGGGGAGATAAAGCAGGGTATAAATAATAAATAAATAAATTCCCACTGGAATCAATAGGAGTAAATCTTTCTAAAGCACACTTTGGGGTTTGGCCCGATTTCTGTTACTTTGAAGACGAGGGTGGAAAAATTAGCCAGACAAGGCACATTTATATAAACAAAAATGTCATGTTCGTTTGTTGGATTAACAGAACTCAAAAACCAGTGGACCAATTGACACCAAATTTGGACAGCATACACCTAACAACCCAATGTATGTCCTTCACTCAAACATTTTTGGTTTTGTCTTTTGGGAGTTGTAGTTGCTGGGATTTATAGTTCACCTACAATCAAAGAGCATTCTGGACTCCACCAATTATGGCATTGAATCAAACATGGCATACAGGACTCCCATGACCAATAGAAAACACTAGAAGGGTTTGGTGGGCATTGACCTTGAGTTTGGGAGCTGTAGTTCACCTACATCCAGAGAGCACTGTGGACTCAAACAATAATGGATCTGGACCAAACTTGGCACAAATATTCCATATGCCCAAATATTAACACAGATGGAGTTTGGGGAAAATAGACCTTGCCATTTGGGAGTTGTAGTTACTGGGATTTATAGTTCACCTACAATCAAAGACTGTTCTGAAACCCACCAACGACATAATTGGGGCAAACTTCCCACACAGAACTCACATAACCAACAGAAAATACTCAAGGCCATCCAGTCCAACTCCCTTCACCAGGGCAAGAAAACGTAATCAAAGCCCTCCTGACAAAGAGCCATACATATAGATAGATATGATTCACAAACACACAGATATAATATCATAGATTTGAAAGGGACCCCTAAAGAAGGACAATGATATGTTGCATATTCCAGGGTAGGCAAACCAGACAATCTCTACATCAACACTGACAAAGAAACAAGAAACACTGTTTAACCACAAGCAGAAAGAAATTACATATATTACAAACCAACACCTTCTAATTACTTTATTTCCCAGATCACCAAACTGGGCCACAGCAACGCGTGGCAAGGGACAGCTAGTATATTATATATGAACACATCTAAAATATACACCATGAATGCTGTAGCCTAAATTAGGTCCCAAATCAAATCTGTAATAAAGAAATAATTAAACATTAAAATAGCATACCATTGAGCAGGTATGGGCCAACTTGGGCCCTCCAGGTGTTTTGGACTTCAACTCCCAGCATTCCCAAGCGGCTGAGGGGGAAAAGGAAAGGGCCTGAGGCTGTTAGGAATGCTGGGAGTTGAAGTCCAAAACACCTGGAGGGCCCAAGTTGGCCCATGTCTGGCCTAGAGTAAGCTGGGCCTAACACAGCAAAGGTTTGTTTGTGTGTGATGTTTGAATGAACAAAAAAAGGCGCACATATCCAAATCTAATAAAAGCCCAAGGGAGGAAAACAGACAAGGTTAAAACAGTGTTTTCGAAAGGTTTGGTCTTCCAGAAGTTTTGGACTTCAACTCCCAGGATTCCCGACTCTGGGCCAAGCTAGCTGGGGCTTCTGGGAGTTGAAGTCCCAAACGAGAAGGCGTGGGAAAGGCTGGGAAGCAACGAAGGGGAAACATAAACGGCTGTTGCCTTCCTCTCCGAAGTAACAACACTTCACAAGCCACTCACCATGAAACGCAGCCGAGCCTCAGGCAAGCTAAAGAGCAGCGGCGGCGAGGGAGACATGGTTGCCGCTCCTGACAGAAACACGGCGAGGTCTGCTGACGTCATAACCCCGCGCCAACGATCCGCCCCGTCCAAGCCAGCATTGCTCACAAGAGAAGAAGGAAACAAGGGGAAGAGCAAGCGCGAGTTCGAAAGGGCGGGGCCTCCGTCTCAGCATGGGCGGGGCTTAGAGATTGGAAGTCACGTGACTCCCTCTCCACGCTTCTGCTTCGCCGCTAGGGGCGGTGTGTTGCATTCTTGGTTAGCAATAGCCTCATCGGCGTTGTTGTAGGTTTTTTCGGGCTATATGGCCATGTTCTAGAGGCATTCTCTCCTGACCTTTCGCCTGCATCTATGGCAAGCATCCTCAGAGGTAGTGAGGTCTGTTGGAAATAGGAATTAACAACCACCATGTCAGACTACACAGAGAAGCCATTGAAATCCATAAACATGTGGACAATTTCAACAGAAAGGAGGAAACCATGAAAATGAACAAAATCTGGCTACTAGTATTAAAAAACTCTAAAATTACAACAGCAAAACAACAGAGAGGAAACAATCTGGGACATCTTATCGCACTGCCAAGCCATCAAATGCTAATCAAGGTGGTCAGTTAAAACATTCACACCTAGCTCCAGCAGACAAGAGTTCTTTGTCCCACCCTGGTTATTCCACAGATATATAAACCCTTTTTCCTAGTTCCAACAGACCTCACTATCTCTGAGAATGCTTGCCATAGATGCAGGCGAAACGTCAGGAGAGAATGCCTCTAGAACATGGCCATACAGCCCGAAAAAACCTACAACAGCCCAGTGATTCCAGCCATGAAAGCCTTCGACAATACAATAGCTTTATCCTTTCTAAACCAATGTGAAAGAGAAAAAGATGGGAAGGAAACATTTTGCAGCCTGTCCATGCTCATCAAAGTGTGCATCTACACTGCAGAATTAATGCACTTTTAATTACCATGGCTCAGCGCTAAGGAATCCTGGAAGTTGTAGTTTTACAAGACCCTTTTCTGCCAAATAGCTCTGGGGCCTCACCAAAATACAACTGCTATGATTTCCTAGCATTTAGTCATGGCTGTTAAAGTGGTGTCAAGCTGCATTAGTTCTACAGTGTAGAATTACTGCTTTGCGTGCTGTTACTGCGAGTGCTGCCCCACTAGGTGATTTTGAGGCAATCGCAGGACAGATAAGAGGAAAGGATGTTTTGAACTGGAGTTGCTGTGAGTTTTCCGGGCTGTATGGCCATGTTCCAGAAGCATTCTCTCCTGACGTTTCGCCCTCATCTCTGGCAGGCATCCCCAAAGGTTGTGAAGTCTGTTGGAAACTAGGCAAATGAGGTTTATATATCTGTGGAATGAATGTACAGAGTGGGAGAAAGAACTCTTGTCTGCTTCAGGCAAGTGTGAATTTTACAATTGATTGGCCTTGCAGCTTCAAAGCCTGGCTGCTTCCTGTTTGGGGAATCCTTTGTTGGGAGGTGATTTGCTGGCCCTGATTGATTCTTGGCTAGAATTAACCTGCTTTTTTAGTGTTGTTCTTTATTTACTGTCCAGATTTTAGAGTTTTTTAAATACTGGTAGCTAGTTTTTGTTCATTTTCATGGTTTCCTTCTTTCTATTGAAATTGTCCACATGCTTGTGGGTTTCAATAGCTTCTCTATGTAGTCTGACATGGTTGTTGTTAGAGTGGTCCAGCATTTCTGTGTTCTCAAATAATATGCTGAGTCCATGTTGGTTCATCAGGTGCTCTGCTATGGCTGACTTCTCTGGTTGAAGTAGTCTGCAGTGCCTTTCGTGTTCCTTTATTCATGTTTGGGCACTGCATTTTTGGTCCCTATGGAGACTTATCCACAGCTGCATGGTATATGGTAGATTCCTCTTGTCCTTTGGTGAATTGGATTTGTTGGATTTTCTTAGTGGGTCTGTAGATAGTTTGTAGGGTGTGTTACTTCATAGGCAGTGGTGTATTTGATGTATTTGAATCACAGACTAGCTCATTGTCGCACTCAGATGGATATTTAATTCAAAAATATCTGGTTTAGTTTCTAGTGAACGGGAAAGTAAATAATTACTTTTAAAATTGTAAGTACTATACTGCTTAACACTTTGGAGCCTAGAAACTATAACTGTGATTAATTGTTTTTTTCAAAGTTATAGTCCAAGCTCAGGTTCATATGAGCCCTTAATAGTAAATATGGCAAAACACTGCTTCCTTACCTCATAACTGTGTGTGTGTATGTGTATACATGTGGATATATATAACTCTCCTTCCAGCTTTACCTTCCAAAATACTTTCTTATCTAGTAGGTAAATTGGCCTCTCCTTCTTACTGTCACAAACAAAAGCTGAATTGGATAGAAAACATTAGTGTTAAGAATAAAATCTACAGATTGTAACCAGAAGATAAGGAAGATACATTTTATTGTTTTGATGAATTCCATGCTTGCCATTCTGGTTAGGAGATTCCAAGAGTTATATTTCCCTAAAGTAACTTTCCCAACATCAAGTCTCATTACGGCTGGAAAATCAGACTACTGCAAAAACGGTTAGAAAAACACAAAGGTTAACCTTTATGTCTCAATCCATCAAAGGATAGAATAGCTCCATTATTATAAAAGGATAAAATTCATTAGTTGCTACAGACTGCAACTATAGCACAACTTATATAATAATTCTTTAGCAAATGATTGTGTTTGATCCTCTCTTTTTTGCTTGTTCATTTATTTGGAATGACCAAATGTACAATTTCACAATAAAGCAATGTTGAGTCTGCAGTGGTATGATTCTGATAGAGTGGATTGATGCATACGCTTGCACAGCAGATTTTAAAAGAGGGAAATCAGGTAGGGAAAAGGGTTCACCTGAGTTCACTGATCATTTCAAGAAGAAAAAGAAACAATGAAGGTTTTTGGGCAAGAAGAGGACACAATTGCTAATATGAACTGGGTTGGTCCATATGTTGGGAAAACTATCCTAAAATAAGCAGCGGAGCATCCAAAGACAAACAGGATACAAAAGTTGAGCATCAGCTCACTAGCAAGCAGAGCGTGAAGTCTCGTGTGATGTGGTTGTAAAGAATTTAGAGCGTAGGAGGCAAACATGCAGAATCCAATCTTTAAAAAAATCACAAAAGGTTTGTTTACAATAATAAATAACTAACTACATGTCTTCATGGTAAAGAACTGCGTCTGAGCTATTCTAACACCCATCTCTTCTAAGGTTTCAGGAGAGGGAAAAACTACATCTCTCTTGACACACAAGCACACAGCACATACGATACCCTCCACATATACTAAGTTTTTACTTTCCATTTGTTCTCTATTACTGCTTTTTAAAGAAATATGCAAGTGATTGAATGAAATGGTAATCAAATATAATACCATGTTTCCAGAGCTGTTGTGTTAAATACCATATTTTTACTCATACACATGTTATTGTATTGTAACTTATTCTCAGCATGTTTTCCCTCCTGTAGCTCTTTATTTAGCTTTGGAGAGATTTTGATGTAGTAACTTAATAACATCTACATGATTTCCCTGCTATGCCTACAGAAAAAAAATGCCACAATGTTGTGAAGTTAAAGCATTGGTGTAGACAAGGTCTCAATTCCAATATAGTGCATACCTCTGAGAGAGAAGAAGTGATATTTCTTTTCAAGGAGCTGCCATGCCTAGTTGTCACCCTGATTGATTCTATACAAAACTCTTAGAAAGCTGAATAGGAAATTGTTCTTTTACTAAAACCATTGCATAGCTCGATGTTTTCATTTCCTCAACTCTCTGGAGACTGGACTCCTCTCCTACCACAAGCTTTAAAACAATACATTTCTGTAAGGCTATTCTGCAGCCTTTCTTTAATAAATCACGTAGAGTACTTCTTGGTTGAAAACCAAATCAAATCAACCAACTACTCTTTATACCAGATTGCTTTTATGGTCTTTGGGGAAAGCTAAATGAAATGTTTCTTGTTTTTGTTGACATTGCTATCTTCAGTGACACATAAACAAATTGTAAAGGCCACTGTTTCATAACAGACCTCTTTTTACTTATAGTTCCTGCTACTGTAAAAAAAAAGTAGCAATGTTTTGGGTTTTTGTGGCTGAAGAAATCCATACACACAAAGGGGATGGGTATCTTTTTGCCTGATTACAATTTGGTGCACTTTGGTGACTAAAGAGATATAACTATGGCTGAATTTACACATGGGCTATATTCCTAGCAAAGCATCCTGCACTAGCTTGACTCCCGTTAGTGTCATATGCAACTGTTTTAATCCAAACTCAGTTGTAAAAAACATTGACCCCCAAATACCAGCAGGGTGTTAATGAAAAGTTCAAGGTTAGTTCAACAGAGAGGCAAACAATAGCAGGATAATAACAGAGAAGCCGAATGTCCATTCCAGATCATAAGCCAAGTACTAGAGAGTCCAAAGTACAAGTGTGCAGGTGCAACTGTTATAGTCCTAAGTTTCAGGGACTCTGCAGATAGGTGGCTTCTTTTGGCTGCAATCATAGGACAAGCCACCTGTCAATTATAGCTAGGTTCCCACCCCCTTTTTGGGGTTTTGGAGGGAATAGGAGCTAGTTTGGCTTCAGTCCACACAGAGAAGCCTTTCACACAGGACATAATACCAAGAGCTCCTGTAGAAAGCTTCGTCTTCTACAGCTTGGCCAGGGAGATACAGCCCCACGGCTTGGCCGGGGAGATATACAGTCCACAGCTTGGCCGAGGATCATACAGCCTTACAGCTCCTTTACTGAGGGACTTCAGCCAGCCATCACAGAAACCTGGACTCCTTTTCCCCTGGAAGTCTACAAAGCTCTGCTTGGTAAGGGTCTCTCGCGGAAGCCAGAAGCAGTTGGTACCGGGTGTAGGGGCTCCATGCCAACAGAGGCAAAGACAGACTGCCCAGATTAGAAGTTAGGGATTTTCCCATTAGTTACAGTTAAGAAGATAGTGGCTGTTCCCTGTGGACAAGATTGAAAGAGCCAATAGTGTTATGAACGCGAGAATAACCAGACGGGAGGCAGGGTGTAGAAGTGAATGATGATGACCTTTTTATTGTTCTCTAAGCAAAGCTTATATA